AGAAAGAAGGACGCATCGTCATGGACAGAGGTGCGAGTTCCACGTGTAGAGTCCTCCCGATATGTTCACTACAACAGCAGTCTGGCAGCGTACACACCTTTTGAAGTGAAGATCAAAGCTTACAACCGCAAAGGAGAAGGCCCGTTTAGCCAGGTCGCTGTGGTGCACTCTGCAGAGGAAGGTGAGTAACGTTCAGCTGATTCCAGTACCGTGAGATCGTTGTGGCAGATATTCCCAACTGCTACTTTCAATGGCTGCTCTAACTGCATCACTGCTTTGTACAGTTTGTGGTGGATATGTTTGTGCACACAGAGATGTCGACTGTGGTTTACTGTAAACGTTGATCAGTGAAAAGCCTCTGAGCTCACCTGCACAGCGTTCTGGTTAAATGACATGAACCAAGAAACCGTTTCTTACTAAACCACATGAGAACCCTGCCACGGTTCCTGTTCCCAGTTTAAACTGCTTCTATCATGAAACCAGATCCCAGCTGTAGATGGGTTTGAACACTGCTCAGAGACTGTGTGACATCCAGTCAACAGCAGGTTGGTATCATACTGGTTTCTACTCTACCAGAGCACTCTGAAGTGAACATCCAGGTTACCAGCAGCAGCATCTCGGCATGTTGGACTTAAAACACACACGAGGTAGTTAGGGAGGTGAAATACACCAGGTGATGACTCAGACAGGTAAAATAACACAAGACTGATTTCCACACAGGACAAGAAACAGAAAGAACCTGATATCCATTCTCCTCATGTCTGAGTTTGTGAAGCAGGAGCACAGAAACGCAGACACGCTAACTCGAGTGTACAGAGCTTGAACTGAAACCACCTCAGTAATGCAAAGGAAAGAATCACTGGGTCCAGTAGAACGACAGAGCCTTGGCTGGTCACAGCCTCTGATAGCTGTTCATGGCTGAAGTCTGGCCTGAAGAGGTCTCAGACTGTGGGAGTGCACCCGTGCCTCTTTAACTTAGCTCTTGTTGCCAGGTCGAGCCAGCCGTGGTCCTGCCTCTGTGTGCACAGCTGACACTCAGTGTTTCTGAATAAACTCCAGAAGTCACACCTGAATGTTTAATGAGGACATTAGCTGAAGCTCCCAACCTGCACGTTTACAATACACAATCACAACTAGATGAGCTCAAGTGGTTCTCTATGTGGTTAGCAAGCTTACACATCTGTGTACTTAATTAAGACAAGACACAGTGGTGTGTACAGTCAGCTATTCCACCTGCAGGTCCAAACTCTTATAATTAGAGAAATGAGACAAACAACATTTCAGATCCACGCACATGGCAGGCAGTGAGAGCAGGCAGGCGTCAGTGTCCAGTGTTTCTGAAGATCACAAGAAGATTTCTAATGTAACCCCACCTGCAGCCTTTTCTGTAACCACTAGAGGGCAGCCACAGTTTTAGAAAGCTTCACAGTCAGTAACCACTGGACTGATGGTAGTAGTCCATGTAAAGAGGATTAAAATAATGAAAGCTGATATATATGTGCTGGTTAATCAAGCACAGCAAGAGCATGGTCAGCAAAGCTGCAGCACTGTAAGATGATATAATTATGTGAGTGCACATACTGCACATTCCTAACCTTTTAACCTCTGACTCCTCACAGAGCCAACCGTGGGGCCCTCGAGCATCAACGCCACGGCGCTGTCCGCCTTTGAGATCCAGGTGTCCTGGGAGCCTGTGCAGCAGCTCAGCGCCAATGGCATCCTGAGAGGATACGAGGTGACGAGCTCTGACTTCATCCCTGTAAAGCAGCACAGCCTGTAACTATCAAACATATGCAGTCACAAAAAGCTCGTCTCTTAGGTGATAACTGTGTGTAAACGGCCTAAATCTCCACAGTAAGGGACACATTTCAGTAAATCATGTTCTGATAACAGATGCAGGAAAATATCAAAGGAAACTCACATTTGCTACATTTAGCTAAATAACCTGACACATTGATCGCACACAGACAGCTGGAGCAGGAGCACATACATGCATGCTCACAGTACGTGTGCTCATTAAAGAGTGAACGTCTGTGACTGAGCCACAGTTACTGAGTGATCCACAGGGTGCAGCCATGTTTCATCACTTTATACCAAACTATGAGCTTAAAAACAGCAGGAAAATATATGTGAAGGAAATAATACAGACAATGACAGTCTGATGGTTTTATAAAATCTTGTGTTATCTCAAACTTGTGCTGTGGACAGCATGTGTGTCTGAAAGTGAAGGCTCTGAGTACATGGAGTTTATAAGACAACATTAATAATAATAAAACCTTTGAAGAAACCCAAGGACGCTTTAAAAAGAGTATATAAGCTGCAGAAAGACGTTTAGAGAGATCTGTAGCGACGTGTCATTGTGTGCGCTAACAGATCCGGTACTGGCGGCAGCATGAAAGAGAAGCAGCAGCGGACCGAGTGAGGACGGCGGGCCTGGAGCCGACAGCCAGGGTGTCCGGACTTCGACCCAGCACTCGATACCACGTCGCTGTTCTGGCATACAACAGTGCCGGCACAGGACCGCCCTCGCCACGCACCGCCGTCACCACCAGGAAACCACGTACGGGTCTCTCTGTTAGAAAGACGAGCACAGCACAGAGCACGTAACACAAAGACAAACGCCGCTCACAGAGAAGTCTCACACCGCAGTCTTCTGCTTCTCAGACATGCGAAGCTTCAGACGATATGACCGTTTGAATTATGCAGATGAAATATCCAATAATCTCAGATAATGAGAATATCATGAACACTTGTAATTTAATCATAAATGACATATTTTATATCTTTAAGTGACTCATGTCAGGACTTATTTTTAATGACAGCTCATCAAAATCTGAACTCAGATTAATTAATGTTTCTGTCCTGGAGGCGAGCTGCCGCCCCCGCACAGTGATGCCCGACAGGGAAACCATCCTGCTTCACTTCTGCTGACTGAGTGAACCACGTGTTTGTAGAGGAGAGGTTACTCTGCTTAAATATAATCCAGCAGATCTGAAGCTTTAATCACCTCAGATACAAATGTTTGGAAGCTACATCCATGAAGCAGCTGTAAGGCTGCAGCAGTCGGTGTAGGCCTCTAACCGCTCTGTCTGCTGGGACTCTGTTATAGAGACACTGGCTCAGTACCCTCACAGTGATACATATGAACATGGCTGCTGTTATATGCATCGTTTCTACTGAAAGGTTTTAACTTGATTCTTTTGAAATGTGTTTTTCCTCCTCAGCTCCCAATCGTCCTCCGGGCAGTGTGTCGTGGAAGGCTCACGGCTCGCGCGTCACCGTGAGATGGGACCAAGTGACAGCCATGCACAACGAGTCAGCCATATTGGGCTACAAAGTGAGTCATGAATCGAAATAAGACTTTTGTTATTTATCCCACATGTGGAGAAATAATCCGAGTGTTTGCTAGGCAAGCGCGTTGCAGCTGAGCCAGGCTGTTGCAGAAGCTGCTGCCTGTCCGGTGATGCAGACGGTCAGGATCAGCTGTGATACACTTTCACTACCCTGTACCAGCAGCGTCACACCAGCCAATCACAGAGCCAGCCTTCCTGATCAGTCTATTTGGTCTTATTCAGTCCTGAGCACTCTCTGTGCTAAAGCATCATCAGTTTCACCTGGAAAATCTTAGATGATTGTGACCCTGAGAACATTGTTATGTTCTCCTAATATTCATATGGAGTACACTGTCACCCATCACCCACCTGCATGCTTGGGAATCACAATAGAAAGGATTGTAGTGGGATTGGAATATCGGTCAGCAGGATGCTGTGGTCTACACTGGCTGCTCGACCAAGTGCAGGAAAGTCTGAGCAAGTCTCCAACAACATTTGATCTGTGCTCATGTTAAACTCCAGCTTTTGTTCATTTCTAAACGTGTTCGGTCACTCCGCTGTACGGGAGGAGGTGGTTAGTATGTTTTATACATTTGAATCTGTATTTGTGGTCGGCAGTGTT